CTCATGCCTATTATTGGAAATCAATCTCCCTATGAACGCTTATATGGGGTCCTTACTGCTTATAATCTACTTAAAGTTTTTGGATGTGCCTGTTTTATCTTACTTCAACCTCATAAATACACCAAATTAGAGCCTCGGGCTCGTTTATGTTGTTTTTTGAGTTATAGATTAAACACGAAGGATACAGATATTGGGATCCTATTTCCAAACGTCTTCATATCTCTCGTCATGTCACCTTTTCGGAACACACAATGTTCTCTTTTCTTTCCAAATTCCATCGATCTTCATCTTCTACTCCCTTCTTTTTTACCGATTCTTCAGTTGAGCTCTTCCCAACACAGATATAATATCCTCATCTGAGATCCCAAGCACTACTCTAGATACAACATCTCCATCTGAGATCCTAAGCACTACTCCAGATACAACATCTCCGGAGCTCCCATAAATGGCCTTACCTGGCGAATCTATTTCATCTGATGGTTCTGCTTTTGGATCTTTTCCATCAGATATCATCACCACTACTCAACCTTTTCGCTAATCTGATCGGGTAAAAAAACCTCTTAATTATTTACGTGATTTTCAGTGTTTCTCTACTATCATGTCTCATCATGAGCCTCAATCATACCGCGAGGTTAGTTCTAACCCCCTTTGGCAGCAAGTTATGGCAGAAGAATTACAGGTTCTTACACAAGCTCATACCTGGGACATGGTTGCTCTTCTTTCTGACAAAATTATTGTTGGCTGTAAATGGGTTTATAAAATCAAAACTCGTTCTAATGGTTCAGTAAAAAGATACAAAGCTTGTCTAGTTGCAAAGGGCTTCACCTAAGAATATGGCATTGACTATAAGGAAACATTTGCCCCCGTTGCTCTACTTACCTTTGCCCGTAACCTACTGGCTATTGTAGTAGCCCACAAGTGGACATTATTTCAAATGGATGTGAAAATGCCTTTCTCAATGGCAATCTCATTGATGAAGTATATATGAAACCTCCTCCAGGATATGACCATTCTCCACACCAAGTTTGTAAACTCCGTCGAGCACTATATGGTTTTAAACAAGCTCTAAGGGCTTGGTTTGCAAAATTTAGTTCTATAATTGGCGATTTTGGATTTGCTTCAAGCTCATATGATTCTAATCTTTTTATCCGCAAGACTGACTCTGGTATTACTCTTTTTTTTCTTTATGTTGATGACATGATAATCACTGGAAATGATCTTGGAGGTATCTCTGCACTCAAAAAATTTCTTAGTCATCACTTTGATATGAAAGATCTTGGGCGCCTCAGTTATTTCCTAGGCATAGAGATTCTTTCTGATTTGGATGGTTATTATCTCTCCCAAACCAAGTATTCCTCCGACATTCTTGCTCGTGCTGGACTCACAGATTGCAAAATAGCCCCCACTCCTATTGAGACCAATGTTAAGCTTACTCCTCTAGATGGTACACTCCTCAGTAATGCTATATTGTATCGATAATTGGTTGGCAGTTTAGTATATCTTATCGTTACCTAACCTAACATCACCTATGATGTGCATCTTGTTAGCCAGTTCTTATTTGCACCTCGATTTACTCATTATACTGCTGTGCTACGCAACTTTTGATACATTAAAGGGAGTTTGATGTTGATTAGGCAGGTGATCCAACTAATCAACATTCCATTACTGGTTACTGCTTCTTCCTTGGGAACTCTCTCATTTCTTGGCACAGCAAAAAATAATCTGTTGTCTCCAGGTCTAGTACAGAGGCCGAACACTGTGCCCTTGCTGATTCCACACAATAACTTATTTAGCTTCAATGGCTCTTAATAGATATAGGTGTTTCTCACTCCATTGGTATTGTTCTCTATTGTAATAATTAGAGTGCTATTTACATTTCTTATAATGATGTCTTCCATGAATGCACCAAACATATTGAAATTGATTGTCATATTATTCATCAACATGTTGCTCGGGGCACTGTACGTCTTCATTCTGTAACTTTCGCTAATAAGACCGCTGACATTTTTACCAAAGCTCTTCCGTCAGGCAGATTTCGAGAATTAATTTACAAACTCAAGTTGGTTTCTGCTCTATCACCTTGAGTTTGAGGGGGAATGTTAACATAATTATATTATATTATATATAGTCGTTGTATAGATTGTTAACATAATTAGATTATATTATAGCCGTTGTATAGATTGTTGCTGTAATTACTCTATAGCCGTTGGTGATCTCTAAGCTATTTATATCTCTCCTTGTACATGATTCATACTTACTTCAATATACAAAATTCCATCTTTGTCTCTCTCTCTCTCAAGATTAACAGATTCAACAAATTAGCCTGGACAACTGCTACTTGGTGAGTGAATGTTCCTTCTCTTACACAATTGACGCAGTTGAAGAAGAAAGTTAATAATATGAAATGTTATTTATAGTCAAATTCTAGTTACTTACTTGAAACAACATAGTTTCCATCTGTTTTCTTTTTCTTTTCCAACAAATAATAGAGATTTAAAGAGGATTGTCAGATCATTTTTTTTTTTTTTTTTTTCGTTTGAATAACTACAATGAATGGCTATCACCTTTGTTCATTGTATAATTATGAAGGCTTGTACATATTTAGGCTTTATTTGTTTGGATGTAAAATATTTTTCAAAAAATATATATATATTTTTATTTTTTGGTATTTGGTTGTCGTAAAATATTTACGAAGAAAAAAAATATTAAAATCTAATAATAATAACTTACCCATCAATTTTCAGCAAGTTATTTTACACGTCTCGCCCAGATTCGACCTCAACCTCAACCTAAATCTTGCCAAACACAGAAAAGGTAAAAAGAAAAAAAAATATTTTATCAAAAAAAGAAAAATCTTTTGCAAAAGAAATATTTTACCTTTGACCTTTAGTATTTAGACTTTTTAAGATTATCCTGCTGCTAAATTTGTGTTTTGGAAATTTGCTATTAAAACTTTTTAAGATATCTTGATGCAAAATTTGTGTTTTGCTTGTGATATCTGGTAGTCCAGGTAAATCAAGGGCAGATCGAGAAATATATTCTGGAGTGGGCTGATACTATTATTATTATTATTTTTTTTTTTTGAGCTCGGCTAAAATTACTTATAGTAAAAAAAAAAAAAAAAAAATTTGGGAGCCTCAAACAGTCGTTAAACTGCTCGGGTCTAAACAGTTTAGTCATCGTAATTTGTTTGGATGCAATATTCCATTATCAATTCATTCTATAACAAAAAAATCTTTATTGGCAAAGTAACCAAAACGATAAAACAATATCAAAAAAGTATTATAGACAGAAACACATCCACCAAAAATAATACATAACAAAATCACCAAGGAAATATTATATGTCAAAAATATAAACCAAAGGATAACATAGCCTATATAAGTTTTTATGCGTGTATTTGATAGAGATAACACATACTACAGTTATTAGGTATGGGATCACTATCAGGACACTATATGAATAGAGAGAGAGAGCGCGATCAATCATGCAAATCCCTTACCTTATTTTAATAAAAATGACAATCATTTCAGAATTGTGTCAGGCATAATAAATTAGAATATGAATGTAGTGTAAAAAAGTAGGCCACATACTGTGTTATAAATACACGTGTTCAACAAGATTGACAAATTCACATGTTTTTCATTGTGGTATTCATGCGCCCTCACTGCTTTTGAGAAGCTAATATAGACTTGGAGGCTATAACAAAAGAAATACATGTTCAATTAACATGGTAAATCTGGACTAACGCGATAAATCTTGACTAATTAGACCACTAGAAGGGTCAAAACAAGTGCAAAATTAAAGCAATTCCATAGACGTCGTTTTGATTAGGCCAATACTTTTAAATATCAAAATTAGTAGATACTAAATATATATATATATATATATATATATATATATATATCACCGACGGCGTACCATAGACAACGAAATTTGGTTGATAAGAATATGACCCAAATGACCGACATCTTTAATTAATTCAGTACTTTTAAATGTCAAAATTAGTAGATATTATATATATATATATCTCACCGACGCCGTACCATAGACAAAGAAATTTGGTTGATGAGAATATGACCCAAATGACCGGCATCTTTAATTAATTCAGGAAACCTTGACTAATGAGACCAGGTCAAAACAAGTGCAAAATTAAAGCAAACCTATATATATTGGCTTGGTTAGGTCAATATTCTTAAATGTCAAAATTAGTAGATATCATATATACCATTCCACACGTCTAGAAAAATTTTAATTAATGACGTCGAATTCACATGAATTCAATGTGTAATGAAATTATCTATTATCTCCACATGACTTGTTATTTTAAAATAACTCAGTTATTAATTTATTCCTTTGAAAGTAACAGGGTAAATCCTTGACTAATTAGACCATTAGAACGGTTAAAGCAAATGCAAAATTAAAGCGAGTCCATAGACATTGGCTTGGTTAGGGCAATACTCTGAAATGTCAAAATTAATATATATTCTATTTACATCTCCATGCGCGAACCAAATTTTCTCCACGCGGCGTACCGCAGACCATAAAATTTGGTTGATGACTGCTATTTTAATTCACATGGAATCAATGTGTGATGAAATTGTCTCCACGTGACTCACACAGTTATTAATTTCTTCCTTATATTCTTTTGAAATTATGCAACGTTTGAATATATATATGTGCACATGACATTTCTTAATTAATAGTGTTGTGGTAAGGAAAGGGCTCTTGCTTTATTTGAGTCGATTGGTTTCTCATTCAGAAAATTTTCAAAAATTACAAAAGTCAGTAATTTCAAAATGAATAAATTTTTTTTTTTTAACTGAATTTTCAAAAACTGTTTCTTACACAAATAGTTAACCAAACAATTTTTTTTTTTCGTATAGTCTTTTGATTTTCAATTATCAGAAAATAGAAATCTATTTTGACAAATCTGAATCAAATAGGCCCTTTGTTTGTCTTCCAATAAAACATTGAAAAAACATCGGAGAGTAGCTGGCATGAGTGGGAGAAAAAGAATGCCACGGCAACTATTTCAGCTGGTGGTACATTTTCTAATATCCAACATCATCACCATCATCTACTCAGACTCAGTGGTAGTATTGATCTTCCTACTACTACTCTTCCTCACAAAGGGAACAAGATCAGCAGCTGACTCTAATTCTCATTCCAAACAGTGCCAAGAGAAATGCGGGAACGTGAGCGTTCCTTATCCATTTGGCATTGGGAAAGGATGCTACATGAACCCCATGTTTGAAGTCTTTTGCAAGGAGTCAACTCTCTCCTATTCCGGATTTACAACGTTGGAGATCTCTGTGGATCATTATGTGCGCATATATGGTCCTACTGTTGTTAACTGTTACAACAAGTCGTCTGCAAAAAATTCTTCTGTAAGTCATGGGTTGGATTCGTTACCATTCCGAGTCTCCCACACCAAAAATAAGTTTGTAGCCATGGGATGTAACATCTTTGCTTATATGATTGATGGTCACAATAAAAACTACATAAGTGGTTGTGCATCCCTGTGCTATAACACAACCAAGTTCATCGGTGGTGGCTGCCAGACTAATATTCCGGAAAATCTCTCCCCCTTTGATTTGCGAATCCAAAAAATAAATACCACTGAACAGTTCTGGGCTTCTAATGAGTCATGTAGTGGTGTTGGCTGCCAGACTAATATTCCGGAAAATCTCTCCCCCTTTGATTTGCAAATCCAAAATATAAATGCCACTGAACAGTTCTGGGCTTCTCATGAGTCATGTAGCACTGCTTTCATTGCCGATAACAACTTCTCCGAATTCAATACCTCAGTATTTACTGATGACGAATTCTTGCCTGCTGTCCCGTTGGTGCTTGACTGGGCAATTCGGAGCAATCTTTCTTGCCAAGAAGCTAGCGGAAGAAAAGACTATGCATGTGGCAATAACAGTAAATGCTTTGAAGATGGCATGGGATATCATCGATGTCGCTGCTCTGAAGGTTACCAAGGGAACCCTTACCTCTCCGATGGATGCCAAGGTAAGTATCTCTACTTTCTTTATTTTAGCTTGCATGCTTCTTCGGTTGTCAACAACAATATATAGTGCATATATATATATGCTACATAAACCATCTTATTCTTTTATTTTATCTATTATACTTACCTTCACCAATCTATTATATATGTTTGTATAGAAATATTTGAGAACCCCTTTTGTTATATCATTTACTTATACCACATGTACATTTTTTTCTTTTCTTTCTTGTCTTCTTCTCTAAAGATATTGATGAGTGCAAAGACCCAAAAAAGAATATTTGCCCAAAGGACGCTTTTTGCTTCAATACAGCAGGTAGATACAAGTGCAAATGCAAACCTGGTTACCACAGCTTTAATCATGGAGATCGAATTGGATGCATACCTGGCAAAGTGTTAGCTGTACATGTTTCTTTAGGTAAAATCCTTCCCCATTTCCTTTTTCTCTCCTTTTCATGAAAAAAGTGCTTAATTTTTCGGCACTTGCAGGTATTGGAATTGCTGTTGGTGCTCTAGTCTTCATCACTATTGGTTTATGGTTGTACCGTAAACTCGAGAAGAGACGGAAAAACAAATTGAAATATAAGTTCTTTAGAAAAAATGGAGGATTGTTATTGCAACAACAGATCTCTTCAACTCGAGAAAGTGCAATGAAAACAGAACTCTTCACAGTAGAAGAGTTAGAGAAGGCCACAAACAATTTTAATGAAAGTCGAGTTCTTGGCAAAGGAGGGCTTGGTACAGTTTACAAAGGGATGTTATCAGATGGAAGCATAGTGGCGGTTAAGAAGTCTAACGAAGTTGATGAAAATCAAGTTGGTCAGTTCATTAACGAAGTTATTATCCTTTCTCACATAAATCACAGAAACATTGTGAAATTGTTAGGTTGTTGCCTAGAGACTGAAGTTCCAATCCTGGTGTATGAATATGTCTCGAATGGCACCCTCTCCGACCATCTTCACGATGATGTCTATGCTTCGATGTCTTGGAATGATCGCTTGAGAGTTGCTGGGGAGGTTGCAGGAGCACTTGCTTATTTGCACTCATGTGTTTCTACAACTATCCTTCACAGAGATATAAAGTCTAGCAACATATTGTTGGACGAAAATTACATGGCTATAGTATCCGACTTTGGACTTTCAAGGTCAGTACCCCTTAATAAGACTCATTTGACGACATTGGTGGCAGGCACATTTGGTTACTTGGATCCCGAATACTTTCGATCAGGGCAACTAACTGATAAAAGTGATGTTTATTCATTTGGCGTAGTTCTTGCTGAACTGCTAACAGGAAGAAAAGCGGTTTCTTCTAATAGTTCTTATGAAGGTCTTGTACTTCGTTTTCGATTATCAATAAAAGAGAGTGGTCTGTTTGAAATCCTTGACGCACTAGTTGTGAATGAAGGCCAAGAGGAGGAGATTAATGTTGTTGCTACTCTTGCAAAGAGATGCCTAAAATTGAATGCGAAGAAAAGGCCAAGTATGAAAGAAGTGGCAGCGGAACTCGACCGATTGAGATGGATACAAGAGCAGCTATTAATTCAACAGAATAGCTTGAATAGCTACAACTTGGTGAGTGAAAGGTCCTTCTCTTGCATAATTAATGCAGATGAAGAAGAAAGTTAATAACATGAAATATATATATTTTTTTGCAGGTTTAAAGAGGATAGATCAGTTTTTTTATTATTATTATCATTATTTTGTGTAATTTTGAAGTCTTGTACCGGATTTAATATTAAAATTCTTTAACTAATCTAGGTGCTAATTTGACGTTTTCCTGGTGCAGTAATATAATCAAATTATCAGGCCGTGTTTGGTTGCATGGAATTGGAGCTTTGAAATTGAAATTTGTGGAATTGGAGAAAAGCAAGTCACAAAGTTGAACCAATTTTTTTTTTTTTTTTAATTCCATCAATTATAATTTCAAGACTCCAATTACATGCAACCGAATAGTGAATACAAACTTAAGAAAAACTTGAATGATAGAATTTCCTAACATTTCTTTTTAGGCTAATACAAGTCATTTGAAGGAAAATCTAAGTATATCTTTCCCTAGCTTGCACACATAGAAGATTCTCTTTGTTTTTTCAATAGTTATCATTCCTTGTCTAGTGTTTCCACTGCATCTAACTAATAAAATTCTGTTTGTTTTGTGATAATAATGTCAATGAGCATAGTACTATTCATAACAACTAAAACTATTATTCAAATTATTAAAAGTTGTTTATAATGAGGTCATTCGCACCAATATTATACAATTCTACACAATGTCAATTATTCACTATCACATAACTTCATTGCTAATGCTAATTTTTTTTCATATATATTAACTGTTAAATCATTTGAGCTTAATACCTCATGAAGTATTATGTCTAAAGTTTAATTTCTTTGAGTGAAAATAATTTTTTGGGCCACGCTTGTGGGTAAAAGCTGGAGCTTTACTTGACCCCATGTGGAGGGAGCAGTTTGTACGGAACGTACGGTGTCCTAGGAATTAGTCGAGACAAAGCCCCGGATACTCCGATTACCAAAAAAAAAAATTTATTTTATTTTTAAGTCCACTTCATCTTTTGCAAATATATTCTCCGTCTAATAATAATCATAAAAAAGTATTTTCTACAGATATTCAATAAAAATAAGCAAATAATTTATTGAACTCTTTTGAGTTGGATTTGTTGGAAACGGGGGCATTAAAAACATAAATTTTGGATGAGATTTGGAATAGACTCCGCTAATAATTTTTTGCGGATCTCTAGACGAGCGCGTTTCTCTCCATAAGGAGATGAACATGATATATTTACTTTCTTAAATCCGTTTCCGGGTGAATGAGAAATTAGCTCCAAAGTGTGGTGTTTTGATAAGCCTTAATGGGTATGCAAAATGTGGGAAGTGTTTGTCCCACATGGAAAAAAATGTTGAAACTAATTGAAATTTAAATAAGTCAAATTTGGGCTTGGGCTTGAGCCTAATTGTAAAGTTCAATTATTCTTTTTACTAAATGGAATATTGGATTGGGCCTTTAATTTTGGGCTAGGCTTATTTAAATGGGTGGTTAGTTTTTGAATTTAAATTAAAAATTAGTTTTTTTTTTTTTTTTTTTTTCCAAATGATTGTATCTATTTCTAAAGGGTTGCATCTATTTTTCAAAGAGTTGTATCTGCTTCTAAAGGGTTGCAACTTAAAACCAATAGACATAACTATTCATGTGAACCATTGCAACCTATTAGAGTGGATGTGTTTATTGGTGAATAGACACCATGTGAACCATTACAACCTATTAGAGTGGATGTGTCTATTGGTGAACAGATACTATGTGAACCATTACAACCTATTAGAGTGGATGTGTCTATTGGTGAACAGACACTATGTGAACCATTGCAACCAATTGGAGTGGATGTGTCCAATGATGAAGAGACACACCCAATCCGAAAAGGCACCTTACTTAAAAACTACTTTTTAGTTTTTTCCAAAGGGTTGCACCCAATCCGAAAAGGCACATTAATTAAAAACTACTTTTTAGTTTTTTCCAAAGGGTTGCACCCAATCCGAAAAGGCACCTTGTTGCCTATATATACCCCCTTTGGATCATTTGTAAATCATTCATTTTCATTTTCTTCTATCTCCCTCTTTAGACTTGAACCCAACCCAAGTGAGTTCAAACCATAGGTTAAGTGGTTCGAACCACTTAGACCCTAATCCAATTTCATCGAGACATATTAAGATTAGTCCGAACCATTTGGTTCGGATTGCACCCAATTCAGTATTTATATAGTATAGATGCATTTTTGAGTCAGAGAGAGTATTACACAGAGGAGGTTCGCCATATCCACGAGTTTGTAGTGCTACTACTGGTGGATGTAGATCGTTGTATCCTGGGAGATAGACGTCACTGAGTCCGTTAGCACCATAGCGGGGCGAATCTGTCTTAAGGATATAGTGTAATACCCCTAATTTCAAAAGGATAGTCCTGGTATTTTATAAATTGTTTAAATTGCATTTATATTTATTTAATTGTTTATTTGTATTTAATAAATTGTTTAAATTGCATTTATATTTGTTTAATTGTTTATTTGTTAATTTAATGGAGTTATGTGATTTATTTATTTATTTTTATTTATTTATTTTTTTAATTTTATTTAACTGACATTTGTTTAGTTAGTACTGGTTTAATTATGTGCTTATGTGGCTATTTAAATATATAGTTTTTAATTTAACTGTGGTCCGTGTTTTGGTTTCCATGTATATTAGTATTAGGGTTTAGTTTTCTTTTAGGTTTCACGTTGAGCCGACTTGTAGTTGGTTTAGGATTTAATTTAGGGTTTCAAATAAAACCTATAAATACATAAGTATATGTCTGCCAAGGGTTTTGTTAATCCTTTTCACGTAGCAGAGAGATATAGAGAGTTGTGAGATTTTGAGAAAACAGATAGTGAAAACTTGAGAGCTTACAGAGAAGTTCAAGGAGGAAGGAACGGGATTGCTTCTGGGTTAGCCAAGAGTAATAGAGGCGTGGAACAAAGTTGGAAATTCAGAGACGACAGTTAGAGATTTAAAACCAAAGTCTTGAAGGTAAGTTTCTGTTCTTGCTCTTTCCCTTTAATTCGTATTCTGTGCATGCCTAGCTAGACTCTAGGAGTTTAGTTAATGCCAAAACAAATTAATTATGCATGCTTAATCAAAATAAAATAGAGGGTTGCAGAGTTATACATACCTGTTCGTGTTTTCTTTAGTTTTTCGATCTTTATGCATGAACTGTTATTTAAATTGAATCTTTGCATGTTAAAACACTTAAAATAATTTAGTATGGACGTATGGGACGTAGGTTGAAGTTTAGAGGACTTAGCAATGGAGTTTTAAGGTTTACAGAGGCTGAACGGACGAAGAAGACGGCATCAACACCAACTTAGCCGACTCAATTGGAGACTGAGTCGACTAAGTTAGGAACTTAGCCGACTAAGTTAGGAACTTAGCCTGCTCAGTTGGCAATTGAGCCAACTAAGTTGGACCGCGACCTGGAACTTAGTTTTAATTGCCCAGAATTGTTTTGGAACCTATTTTAAGTAATGTAAATGGGTTAAATGGACTTTGGGTGGTTCTAAAATGCATAATACACTTCTTATGCTTAGAAAATTTGACAATACGGATATGTAAATAAATTTTTATAAATTATTTAAAGGATGAATCAGTATAAAAGCATACAACTTAGCATACTGATAATGGATGGAAAGAACTAAATTGCTTAGCTTAATTTTGGGCAACATAATGGATTATAATAAGATTATAAATCTTATATTGGATGCATGATAGATCATTTTATGTTTAAGGTTTGAACTATGCATGCTCTGGATGTTAATTGTTGAAATATCAAATTTTCTAGTGCAATTACATGAATTAATGCTGGGATTTATATTACTGAAATTTTAAATACTTTTCTGCAATGATATGGATAATGGTTTGGATTATAAATTACTAGCTTATTATTATGTTTTGTAATTTACATGGATATGAAGGATTGTATGCACCGGTATGGGACGGTGACATATTAGGGACGGTTTAGCTCAAAACGCTTAAACCTACCCTAATGGATTAAAGGATTGATTGAAAAATATTGAATCCAAATTGTGATTGAGTCAGATCAACTACGACTAAGTTGAATGGCTTCCTGGATTAATGGATGGTAGTTAAGTCATATCAACTGAATAAGTTGAGTGACTAACTAGTTTGTATATTGTATGTCATCTCAATAAGTATTTGAATGACATATCCTGGTTTTGGACGGACTTTATATATATGTTTATGGTACCACGAGATGAACTTGAGTCTCAGACTCGTTGGTTAGGGTGCGTATATGCAGTGGATGCGTAGTTAGTTAAAGTAGGTTGAGGTGTACCCTGTTAGGTCTAGGTACTCATGCCCACCTTTGGGTGCATTTTCGCATGTTGTCTTCTATTCAGGTTGAGACCCCTACTGTAGTCCAGTGAATGTCCCTTAGTGTGGATATATATATGTATGGACTAGATGGATATTGTTGAGTTATCTAGGATGTATCTGCATATCGGATTACTGCTTGGATCGTAGTAAAATAGGACTTGCATGTGGGCCTGACCCACTCTTTATTTTTTAGGTGTCCATCAGTTCCAGGGTTAGAGCTTGGATGTGCAGAGCAGATACAGATATTCATTTCTCCGACTACGTAGGAATCTTTTCTATGTTTAGCTTTAGATTCTATTTCAGATATTTTAGTTTATATTGGGTTTTAATAAGAGGTCCACTGGATGGATTCCCGAGTTGTAAACTTATGAAGTTTTGGATTAACGGATTTAAATAATTATGTTTTGAGGATTTTTATTCTAGTTTCTTTCAGCTTATTATTTTTATTTCTTTATTTTATCTTGTATTTTGTGTTCGGTTACATATTAATTGTTTGATATCCCTCGGGTTTGGGCCTGGGCCTGATCAACTCGTGTCTCGGATTTGAGGGGTATCACACAGTATCCAATACTAGCCTCGGTCCAGGTTCTTTATTTATTATTATTATTATTTTATTACTTTATTTTGCATATTTAATTAAA